TTGCCAAGTCAGTCTCTCTCCTATCTACCTACTCTCGAATATGCCTATTATTTATATGCTATCTATGTAGCACCATCTGTCACACATTATCTCAATTTTTGTTTAACTCACTTTTAGTGTTAACATTGTTAAAGCGCGGTGCCATGTAAATAATTTCCTCTGTTAGTACTGCACAATGCAAGCAAGACCTCTCTTTTATAAGTTTCTATCTTTCCCCAGGATTCCAATGAGTGGATCCGCCAGAGCGCCCCCGAGGCATTCTCCGAGCCCCGCCCCAGCAGCAGCTAACCCCAAAGGGGGCCCCAGCCCGGGGAGGACCCCCTCCAAGGCCAGCGTCGACTGCAGAGGGTGGGGGGCGGGGCCGGGCAGCCAGACGCCCCCGAACTCCACGCGCTTGGACGGCGGCACGATGCTGACGCTGAGGTTGCCCAGGCTGGAGGAATTGTGGCGGAAGTACACGCTGAAGGTCCCGTTCACGTGGTCGACGATCTTGCCCGTCACCAGCAGCGAGAACTTGAGGGTGTGCACTCGGAAGTAGAAGTCCCCCCAGCCGAAGATCTTCTTGGCGCGGGCCGCTTTGATAGACGGCTTCCTCTTGGTGCGCTGCACGGGCAGCGCCCCCACCGCCCCCACCCGGGCCAGGGCCCCGGTGTGGTTAGCGGGCCAGGCCCAGCTCCAGGCGCGGGCGGTGCCCAGGCCCTCGGAAGACTTCGGCGCCTGGAGCTGCTGCACAGGGGCGCCCCCTCCGGCCGCTGCGGGGCGCAGCTCCATGTACTGCGGCCTCCTGGACTCCGGTATCTGGGCACTGACGGTCTGTGGACAAAAAAAGAGGAAGAAAAAGAGATGCTGGAGCCCTAGCCGGTTTGGCTCAGTGGATAGAACGTCGGGCTGTGGACTGAAAAGTCCCGGGTTCCATTCCGGTCAAGGTCACATGCCTGAGTTGCAGGCTCAATCCCCAGTAGGGGGCGTGCAGGAGGCAGCTGATCAATGATCCTCTCTCATCATTGATGTTTCCATCTCTCTCTCCCTCTCCCTTCCTCTCTGAAATAAATAAAAATATGTTTAAAAAAATAAGAGATGCTGGAGTTGTCCCTGGCCACCCTACCCATGGCCACCCAACCGGGGCCTTCACCATGCCAGCAAGGCCACTAGGAGGCCAAATGGAATCCAGCAGCCGGCAGCCAGTGGGTCAGGGAGTGTGTGTTGGAGTGGAACTGCAGCCCTTTCAAGCTGTGTGGCTTGGCCAAATCACTTCACCTAGGTAGGCCTCAGTTTCCACATCTGAGATGATACTGAGAATCCTCATGTTCTTCCAGATCTCCGATGCGGCTGAAAAAGCCCAAGCCAGTGTGGGTTTGAATATGGGGACAGGGACTCCGTCTCCTCCAGCCGGAGCCTGGTTGGTTCAGAGCAGCGATTTTCAACCTTTTTCATCTCATGGCACCCATAAACTAATTCCTAAAATTCCCCAGCACACCAAAAATTATACTTTTTGGCCAATCTGACCAAAAAAGGTATATTTTTTATTCATCCATACCAGACAACTATTGTTGGCCATTGTCATTTTTTAACTTGACAATCTAAGGCAGCGGTTCTCAACCTGTGGGTCTCGCGACCCCTTTGGCGGCCGAACGACCCTTTCACAGGGGTCACCTAAGACCATCCTGCATATCAGATATTTACATGATGATTCATAACAGTAGCAACATTACAGTTATGAAGTAGCAACGAAAATAATTTTATGGTTGGGTCACAACATGAGGAACTCTATTTAAAGGGCCAGAAGGTTGAGAACCACTGGGGAAAAGAGGAGGCCAAAGCCCCTGACTAAATAGTCAAGTATTGCATGTTTTAAAAATTCTTGCTCGCACCAGAGTGCAGTGGCACATCGGTTGAAAATTGCTGGTTCTGAGTAATGAGCCAGGGAGGAGTCGGACTCAGGCAAGTGAGGCCATGACCATTGTCAACATCCAGCATCAGGAAAGAGGTGAAGACCTCTAGATGCCTCTGTGGTGACTAGAGCCCCCACCCGGCCTCATCCTCTGCTCCCTTGTGGGGAGGAGCTTGGGAAACCAGTAGAGCTAGGGAGAGCAATGGGGAGTCAGTAAGGCTTGTGGGCTACTGGGGTACGTCTCCCCGCCTCCAGCGCTCCTGCTAGTGGAGGAGGCCGCCTGGTGGTGCTTCCCGGGGACTCGGATGGATCGGCAGGAGGAGCCGCCCTGGCCCGCCCCCACCCGTCTCCTTGTGTCTCAGGTGGCAGCGATCTGGGAGACAGCGAGGGCTCGAGTACAAGATAGATCGAGAGGCGGGAGCGGTGGGGCCAGGCCTGGGCCATCAATTATCTGGTGGCGGGGGGGCAGGGGTGGCCGGGAGCGAAGGAGACAGTCGGTCAGAGCGAGAGGAAGAAATATGGAGATGCCGCTCCAGCCAGGGGAGTGGGAGGGAGAGGAGCTGTACATGTCAGAGTGTGTCAGTCAGACTGTGCTAGCTGTGGCTGTTAGGGTGGCCCCTACTGCGTGTGTGTTCAGATTGGGGAGGGAGTACTGCATGTGTTAGTCTGGTGTGGTTGTGTTTCTGTTAGCCTAGGATGGTTGTATTGCCTGTCTACCTGGAGTGATGCCTGTGCCTGTGTGTGTGTGTGTGTGTGTGTAGCTATGGTGATGGGTGTGTGTCTGCCTAGGGTGGCTGTGCATGGTGGTTATGTGTGTGCCCTGGTGACTGTATGTGTGTGTGTATGTGTGTCTGCCTGCTTGTGGTGGCTGAATGTTTGTTATGTCAGTGTGTGGCAGCTATGTATGTGTGCCTGGGTGGTATGTGTGCCTGGGTGCATGTGTACCTGGTTGGCTGTGTGTATTAATCTGAACGAGGCTGAGGCTGTGTATCACTTTGTGGTACGTGCATCTGTGTGACCCGGGCTGGCCATGTGTGCTCTCTGGGTGTGTCACTTGTCCTGTGTGAGTTCCTATCATCCGGTGTCCATGTGTCAAGCTCCTCCTAGAGGGTGTGTGTCCGTGCCTCCACAATGATAAGACAAGTGTGCCCTCCCTGATCCCCGGGGGTGCATGTGTGAGATGTATATTAATGGGCCCTGCTGGCTGAGCTCTGGGTAGGTAAAGAGACCGGACACCATGGTGTCCCCTCTGTTTGTACACACCCATGTGTATACACCAGGTGTCCACAGGGGACAGGAATGGCACAGTCAAGCTGCTGGGCTAGAATCTCCACCGCCTGGTCCCCATCCCCGCAGCGCTGCGATCCTGGGTTATTAATGCGGCTGCCGCCACCCGATCGTCATACATATTTATCGCCCCC